AATATTCAAAACATGTTGAATCATTATGATATATATGTAACAACAAGAGAGAAAATGTTGTTGTACCATATTTGCAAATTAATAATGAGGATATTTTAACATGAACTGTTATTACTATGTAACCTATTCTCTTGATTGAGTATATACTCGATATTATTTCCTTTATGTTCAATTATTTCTATTTATGTATATAAATGCATCAATTCTGCTGACAACAAAAAAAATCTCCTTTGAGGATTCTACGTCCAAGTTAAATAATTCTCTTTTTGATAAACCGATCATGCTCCTCTCAAGACAATCTCAGGATTGTTTTTAATAATTATTGTAATATTTTTTTGTATAGAATTTATTCATCTTTATTACATCCCCTTTCAATATTTGCTCTCTTACCTACTTTATGCTTTACTACTTTTGAAATTTAGTAAATATGTAATATTTTCCTATTCTCCCTCTCTTTCAATCCTTGTTGAAAGAACCCATCCCAATGATAAAATCCTAAACAAAGAAAATGGAGAAAAAAAATTTGTTAGATCCCTAGAATCTTTTCTTTTTTTAGGGTTATAGAAGATATTCACCTTTATTATATTTTCTTTCAATATTTGCTTCCTCTTACCAACTTCATGCATGTAATACTGAAATTTAGTAAATATGCAATATTTTCCGATTGTCCCCCTCTTTCAATCCTTGTCGTTGAAAGTATCCATCCAAATAATAAAATCCTAAAAAAAGAAAATAGGAAAAAAAAAGGTTGTTAGATCCCTAGAATCTTATTCGTTTACCAATTTACAATATAGTAGTGTATGAATAGATTATGAAATATTATTTAATTTTAAATATCTCTAGTAAGATTTTACAGAAAGGATTCAGTCTAAAGGAAAAGAATACTCAGATACAAGTCAATCATGGAAATGCTTTAAATGCGTCGCATTTAAAATAATTGCTCAATATTTACTAATGTATAAACATAAAAGAAATCAGAAAAGGAATGGATGAAACATTACCCCAAGGAAGAAGAGGGAACTCCCACTGTTGCTTGGGCACCATGAAAAAGTACGCAGCTACCTACAAAATTTTGCAACAAAAATAAATGCACGAATAGAAGTGAGAAGTGAAACATAAAACGACAATACACAACCATACAAGAATGGATGCAGAAAGAGCATGAGGAGAGCTGAATAGCATTGAAGTCTGCTCTGTTTCATAAAGAAGATCCATGATCTCCATGCAAACTTCAAGGCTTACAAGGTTCCCTACTTTTGATAACTCCCTGGAGTCAAATTGAAAGAAAAAAAAAAGGAGGGGAAAAAGTCAAATGCATGCCGTTAAACGACATAATAATAATAATAACAAGAACTTTATGCAAGTTCACTACAACCATTAAATTTATTATCATTCATAAAGTACTATTGTTGGGACCATAAAAATCAACATCTGATCACCCACAATTTTTGACACAATATTTGCATAATGAGACATT